TACAGTTAGCTTCAGCGACGTGTGCAAGTGTATAGAAGATAGTTTAGGTAGACATTAATATGAGATAAAAAAGCAACAGAACAATATAGAGAACCAAGCATGCAAGCCAGCGGTTAGTAAATAGAATGCAGGGTACCGATAAACGCTGAGCCGGTTCTGCCTTCGTTCTCCGCATGTGTTACACTACCACGAGCTCGCTGTCGATGGAGTACAACCCATCGGCGCCTGCAGCTTCCGCACTTGCCGCTTCTACTCTGCATGCACGAGGGCCATCTCCTGCACATTGGCAACTGCCTTCGTGATCACATCGCGCCATGCAAGCTGACCAATTGCCTTCAGTTCCCATGACCTGGAACCAAGATTAGAAGGTACTAGGCTCAGTTTGCTCATGTTCTGCTAACGAAGCTACGGTTTCCCCACATGCCGCTTCCCAACACTCAGCTTCGGTATCCGCGCCGAATCCATACGGCTCACATGACCGAGCCATCTCAGGTGCCGCAGTAAAAGTATGCCGTCCACTGAGTATATTCCACTTCGGCGCAACACTTCCGTGTCTGCGACTCTGGCGCCCCAACCGATCCGCAAAATTCGTCGCAGACACTGCTGATGGAACCGCTCGAGATATCGCACATCCCGACGGTACATCGTCCACACTTCGCTGCCGTATGGAAGAACGGACAGCACCATGGATTTTACACCATCAGATTCGTGACAACGATAGGCTGATGGTTGTTCCACACTCGGTACTCAAGCTTCCAGAATGCCGCCGCTGCCTTCGACACGCGGACACGAAGCTCACTGTGTAGCTTCTGATCAGTCGACATCACACGCCCAAGGTAGCAGAAGCGGGAAGTGGGTTCTACTACTTCAGTACCAATACTGATTTGCGGCAGTATTGAAGATCGCACCTCCCGTGAAGGCTGAAAGGGACAGACAGTTTTGCTTGTATTGATGGTGAGCCCGAATTTGGCCGGTGTCAAAGCCAGATCACTAGTCATATGTTGCAACTCATCCGCGCTGTGTGATAACAACGCACAATCGTCAGCAAACAGCAACATTCGGATAGTTGTCCCACAGACTAGAGTTCTCGCACCAAAACGACGGATGTTCAGCAATCCACCATCAATATGGTGCTCCACACGAACACCGTAAGAACAAGCCGCACCAAAAGCACAAGACATCATTGCATGAAGATAAATATTAAACAGGGCAGGAGCTAAGATATAGCTTCACTTCACACCAGTGACAACTGCAGTCATTCGAGGTCTCTCCACTCAGCTGCACCCTCGCCCGTATACCATTGTGCAAACGTTCAATCAAACTTACAAACTTACGCGGGCAACCAAACTTACCCAACACCAGCCACAATACCTCGCGGTTCACCGTATCAAACGCTTTGGTGCAATCAACAAAAAGCGAGTACAGCGACTGGTGTCGTTCTCTGCACTTCTCCTGAAATTGACAAGCCTCTAACACCATATCTATAGTGCTGCGATCTGAAGAGAATCCACCGTGCTCTTCCGCCATGTTAGGTTCCACAACCTGACTGACAAGGCGGTTGAGCAGGATTCGCGCAATCAACTTGCCCACACAACTCAGCAAGTTGATTTCACGATAATTCGTGCAACATTGCTTTCTCTCTTTGCCCTTGTACAGTGGTAGCACAAGAGCATTCTTCAGCTCAGGAGGCACGTCTTCCATCCATACGCGTTGTACTGAGTGATGCATCGCAATCACCAACGCGGGTCCGCCATGTTTCAATACTTCAGGTGGGATCCCGTCGGCACCGGCACACTTGCCGTTTCGCAGCTGAGCAAATGCTCTCTGTGTCTCATCCAGTGTCGGTGTGTCCACCAGACTCGCCTTCACATCGTTCTGCTTCAGGTTGTTCAATGTAGGACAGTCGACCTCTGAACGGTTGTTCAAGAGGCAGTTAGTGTTTTCGCCAGATCTGCATTATGTCTGCAGTCTGGGTGCAGGTAGCGCCTGAACTACCATCGATCAGTGTCCTCAGCGGCTCCAATCTCGGTCCTTACACCGCCTTCAAGGAGTCAAAGAATTCCTTGTGTTGGTGGCGTTCGGCGTAGCCTTAAATCTACCGCACCTTCTCAGTCCACTATGCTATTTTTATGCGACGGAGCACTCGGGTCAGTCGCTGTCGACTTGTGCAAAACGTTTTGTTCCACCCCAAGTCACTGGGGTCTGCCACATGTGCAGCAAATGCTGCACGCTTCTCCGACATCAGTGCGCCGATTGTGGCATTCTTCTCATCAAACCAATCAGGCCGCTTGTAGTTTGCGCTCCTGATGGTACCCACGGCAGCAGCTGTAACTTGCTTGTGAATGGGACTCCACAAATCGCCCAATGTGGCTATACAGTCCACATCACACATGCATGCAGCGATCGCCTTCTCTAGCCCAATACGTTTCGCAACAGTACCGAGGGCGAGCATGTTAAATTGACGCCGGTTCACGGCAGGAGTGCAATACATAGGTTTACGATAACATATGTGCAGTTTGGTCCGCACCAACTTGTGATCAGTGCCACACTCAGCTCTACACAGTGCACATGTCTTGCGCACTTCACGCATATCACACTGACGTACGATGACATGGTCGAGCAGGTGAGCGTGACCACTCCGTGGGTGCGTCCAAGTTGCTATATCACTCGCACTCAGTGCAAATCGAGTGTTCGTGATCGTCAGGCCGTGAGTGGCGCACCTGGAGAGCAGCTAGTCACCGTTCGCATTCACTGAACCGATGCCATGCGGACAGATGACATCCGTCCACTCTGATGCATCAAGCCCAACGCGCGCGCTGAAATCACCCAGCAGAAATAGTCGGTCGCTCCTCGGCACAGACCGTATCCCGGAGAATAGCATAGTGTAGAATTGATCAGTCGTGTCATCTGGATAACACATGGTCGGGCAGTAGGTGTTTATAAATAGGATAAACACCTCTTCCGAGTCGTAGGCGAATAGTCATCAGTCACGCGCTGATGCCAGTTGGTTCATCCACCTGCTGGCCATAGAGGCAATCGGATATTGCAAATCGGACCCCATGATCACTTGGTGTTGAGGCGGCGTTGTCCACTCACTAGAATGTGTAGCCAGCACCTGCTTCATGCAACTTACCTTGCATAGCGAGCCGAGTCTCACTGAGCGCCGTACTATCGATGTTGTAGCGCGCAAATTCCATCGCGACTAGTGCAGGGCGTCACTCGGGGAGCTCACTCGAGTTCCGGTCCAGTAGGGTGCGCACGTTCCAGCACCCGATGCTGAGTGCTTTGCGCGCAGGCATACGATTGAATTGATGGGCAATCGCACGCGAGGTGGCGGTTTTGCTGCGGTTAGCTTGAGGAACTTTACCTGGAGCCATTGACTCAATAACCTAACGCACAAGGCAGGGGGTGATTTGGAGATTTTGCTTGAGAGACTCCGCCCGAAACCTTTCGCTCAATAGCCTGACACAGAAGGCAATGGGGAGCAGATGCAGCTCGGGAATGTGATTGCAGGGACAGATTGGGATCTTCTTGACGGCCGTCACACACAGCCTTGGAGGTACTGGGACGATTCGTATGGGTTTTACGATCATTGTAGGATACGCATCTGCGACCACGGCCAGACGCAGGTGGGTTTTGGCGGGTTTGCATCAATTTGACCAGGGTCTGCTTAGATTGAGGCGGGCAGTAGCAAGCCATTGAACACACGGAGGTGCCCTCACATTGTCAGAGACAATGCGTGGCGCTCGTGCTCTACGCCAATCCAGCTGTGAGTTTTTAATCCGTAGTCCTGTTGTCTCCCATAGCTAGGTTTTACAGGAAGAGGGCCATCGAACAATTTATAACCTCTGAAAAGGATGGACTAGGATACTGGCAGGGCGCCCAAATGTGACAGGAGAACGACAGCTCCTCAACCAAAGCACTTGGTCTCTTCAGTGACTCATGTGGATTGGTGTCCCTTCTCCCTGCTATATATACTAATAGCCTTGATCAGGATTAGTGGGCCAATTTCTCTTCTCAGGACTAATCAAAAATCGGATTCTACCTAAGTAGGAGTATTGGCTGCAACTCTGCTCATAGTGGTGCCTAAAGTCAGATTGCATATAGTACAACGTTTGCCGCCATTCACATATATATGGATCCATTTCTCATTTTCCCTGCCACAATCCTCTTAGTTTACCTCTTCTGGTGACGGAGTTCAAGCAATCAAGTAGCCTAGCTTTGTTACCCATATGGTAACTGAAACTATCCTTTGCTGGCGTTCATTACATTGACTTTGCATGCGGTTATTTCGAAATCAAATTGCTTCGCACATACAAACTGTGGTCTGCAAACCGCTCATATTTGTTCAGTGGTGGATGTGATGCAGTTCTCAACAGCGTTTGCTTACTAGCCGTTTAGAAGTAGTTTAATTTAAACTAAAATTACAGCAGGTGCAGTAGGGACATTTGCAACACGTACGAACACTGTAAGTGCTGTCGTACGCAGTCGCTATGCAGAAAGTTGTAGCCCTTGGACGAAACACTGCCCTCTGCACAGTTTGTAACTGGTATGATAATGGAGGATGAGCAGGAGTATATCACGGTAAAGCTGTCATAGAGGCAGGTCCGCCGTTGTCACCCATGCCTAAGTGGCACGAGCGGTTGGCATCTGGTAGTCACGGTGTCGAATCCCAGCATCGCTCCCAGGAACGCGCATCACTGACGAGACCCAGAATGTCGAAACGGCCGTCCGGTGTTTCTCCAGTAGTCTGGGAACTTGGATGAATGAGACGTGATTGCGGCGATCTAAATCCAAACCGAAAGTTTCCATGACTCTGTAGATAACTTATGAAACTCCAATACAGTGAATTAAAAAATTTAACTGCTGTGTTCCATGTATTGTTTACTAGTTTAAGAACGAACCTTCTTATTACAATGGTTCCACGAAGTGTGGAACACTGGTACTCAGTTATAGCTATGACACCGCCACGTACTTGGTGGCAGTAGTTTCTGGTTGGATTACGTCACTGACTGTGAACTCGGATCAAGACTACGTTGGCGCCTTTTACTTGTCCAGCTCGATAGTATCCGTTCGTTCGGTCTCGCTGGACCCAACGAGATTTGCATTGCTTGTTTTCCAAATTCCAACGCCTTCAGACTGCGGTCTATGGAAGCGACTTCCCCTGACAAAGTTATGATCAGCACACACTTAGCCTGACCTCCCAAACACGGCTTCAACAGATGCGTCAATTTTGAGTCCCTGTATGGAGCTGGGACTGAATTTCCCGAAGCTCCAGGTTGATAAGATTGATTCCGTCGTCTGAGTGCTTCAAAAACTCGGGCAAGTGTGACCAATGACTTGTTAATATAGCCTGTTTCGATGTGTACTTCACCGATAGCTTCTATACGTTCAGCACTCTCCGAACCTGCAAGATCACACAGTATGAGCGACGAACTACGCTTGGTTTTGTCAAATAGGTTGTTAAGGACCAGTTGCACACGAATTACATGATGGGAACGTGATGACTCTACGTTGAGCTTTGTTGCTGTGACCTTCCGTCGTTTATGACCTTTAGCAATCCACGAGAGCATCTCTTGCTCCGTGCTAGCCATCTTCTCCTCGGCATCAATCAACCGAATGTCCACACCATCATCAGATATCTTAACAGGTTTAATCGGATCACCTAGTAAATCGTACACCACTTCGTTGTGAATCTCTAACATGGCGATGCTCAGTTGAAAATCCCAGATACCGTGCAGAGGTTGACACAACTCAAATAGTTCTGTCACTGCTCGAAGACCGACACCAGGATCTTTTGGTGTTCCTTGCATAGTGTATGTTTTTCCGGATCCAGTTGGACCATAGGCCATGATGCAGACATTGTACCCATCCACACATGAAGCAATAAGTGGACGAATCTCTTCGAACACATCCGCCTGAGTTGCACTCGGACGAAATACCCTGTTGAAGCTGAAGGACTCCTCACTGACTCCATAACTGAATGACTGGTCTGGCTGGAACTGTTTCTGAAAGGCCGTAGTGCAGTTGTTGCGGGACACATTCGGTACCGTTATCCGATCCAAGGAATTGAATTGTATCAAACACTTCTCACCCGGTACGGAGGGTCTACATCGACAAAGAACACGCAAATTTCCCCTCACCTCCTGCAACTGATTGTGTAGCATCTTTCGCGCCTCAGCTTCCATGGTATACAAACGCTGTAGACGTAAGTATTCCCGTTGAAGATGGGTGAGCCTCTCACGCACTCGTTCCGCTTCCGCGGACATCAGATGTGCATCAGTGCGACCCATTTGATATTGGGCTAGTTCTTGCCGGAGAGTTTGGTTCTCAACTATTAACCGTTCGGTACGTACGCGTATATTAGCATCCTCTGCATCTTTACCTTCCAGCTCCTGCTGCAGCTGTGAATTGCGCAGCTCCAGTTCTTCACGCTCTTGTACCTTGGTTCGCAACAGGACTTCCAGCTGTTGGAGCGCCTCTTTCAGATTCTCGTTTTCTACTCTGAGCCTTTTCAATTCAAATTGAGCATTTTCCGATTGTATCCGCAAGCTTGTGTGATTTTCCACTTGTTTTTGTAAAGATGCTTTGTTTTGAAGTAAACTGTCGATTTGAATGCTTTTCATCTCAAGATCATTTTTAAGATGACAATAATCTTTACGTAACGAGTTGTTCTCATGCAACAGAGCATCAGCCTTTTTTCTCAGATTGGTGTACTTATGACTGAGCAGTATGATACCTTTTTGCATAGTATCTGTCTGTAATTGCAAATTGCGACGTTGCAACATGAGTATTTGTAACATGCGGGTCAGCTTAAGCTGACGTTGTTTGTCTAAGGCGGCTGATTTACCGCGCTTCATTTCAATTTCCTTCAGCTCTTTCATGGACTGAAATAGTTTACGCATAAACGCTTCCATTACGTTCTGCTTCATCAGCAAATTCTTCAGTCGGATGGAGCTGATCACTTTGCACAAAGCCTCCATGTCAACTTCTTCGCTGTCCCCAGACCGGCCAGGTTTTGGATCGGCACTTTTGGGCCGCTTGATATTCTGCCTAGTGAGTGCATGCCCGGGTGGTGGGCGATACAGCTGATCGTCCGTCGATCTAAGATGCACGTTCATTTCTATCGTAAATGCATCGAGGATTTTATTGCATTTTCAGCTGAACACATGTGAGCCCAGTCAAAGAACAACCACACGAAGGGTTTGAACATTAGGCCACGTGAGTTGCTATCGATTTTCAGGACGAACAGCTGACAGTTGTGTGGCGCATACGGTGGAGCTAATGTTCATGGCAAGATTTTCTGGAAGCTCTCAGAAAGCACTGATTCACGCGATAGATTCCTGAGCTGATGAGTTTTTTTGCATCTGAACAGAATGATAATCTTTACAGCTACTAAAAAGCAGAAATGATACTACAACTTAGTCTCCACAAAATTGGAACAATATAAGTATTGTTCGCTTCGAGCAAAGCACACCATTATGATTGGACTACTCCTGAGTTAGATTCTGAGCGGAGACCAAACTCATGGACGTTATGGACCCGGTGAACGTCTGTATCATGTATATGCTAAGTCCCGCAAGCAGAGCATGCTACTGTCGTTAGAGTTCTACTTGTGTGTGTGTGAATCTTCTTCTAAGAGTGTGCCCCCAATGCCTGCAGTGACAGAGGCTAGCATTGACGTAACTCGTGCGCCGTAACCCAAACAGGAGTTGCATATTGTTGTGCATTACAAACCGGAGGCTCGACTGGAACCGTCGGTCCAATTTGGATCCCATCCAAGTCGTGATAAACCGGTCAGACAGTGGGAAGTCATCTGACACAGAGCAGCTGTTGTTTTGCGCCATTCAACGCAAATACGGCAACGTATGAAGTCACTGGATTAACGAATGGGGTATAATCCAGAATAGAGGTAGCAATGTTAACTTTTATTTCCACTAACTGAATTTGGCACTTTGTCATCATCATCCTCATCATCATCATAATTATGCACATTCACTAGAAGTCGGAACCACCTCAGCTACTATGTCGCAATGCATAAAAGAAAATAAAGAAATAATGCTACAGGTGCATGCCAGCCGAGCTAACGGTAACGGACGGGCATCGTTCCGGAATGGTACCAGCCGGCTAATATGCAGCAAAAAAATTTATTATGCAAAATTGTACTGGCTTAAGTGAGATCATGGTTGGAGGGGGAGGCTAAGAGGGATAAGGTGGGACAAAGAAACTCACAACACGAACGCCATGTCAACAAGTGCATTCAGTCAAACGTGTTCTTCGTCTTTCGGACCACAATCAGGGAGCCGGGACGCTCCAACCAAGGTCAGCATCGAAGTGGGGGGCCTTCATTCCTCTCGATCAAGTCATCACTTGGGCACTCCTCCTCTTCTTCCATCCTCATCCCGGGCGCGCAAATAACGCATGTCGCGGCATGCGTAACACGTGGCCGAGCCATCGGAGCCTGGTACGTGAAATAACGGTGCTGAGTGGTTCATTTCCTTTCCCTGTGCCGTAACCAGGGCATAGAACCCGCTCGTTGCTCACGCGGTGTTCCCACCAGGTGTGAGCCAAACTGCGAAGGCACCGGTGGTCGAGCGTAATTATTCTCTTTATGTTGGCTGTTCTAAGGGGCCAGATTTCGCAACCGTACAGTAGGGTCGAATTTACCGCTGCATTGTACACTCTACCCTTCAGAGCGAGAGTGATGTCGTGCCGGCGCCATAAGTGGCGAAGTTAACAAAAGTGCCTCGAGGTTTTGCTATACGGTTCATGCTGTTGGCGCAGACAGAATTCAACCGCTTTCGACTTCGTTAACTGTACATCCGGTCTGAACAGAATTAAGTTGCATGTGATTGTAACAAGGCAAGCTGTCGCCACCCTTCAATATCTCCAACGGTGTGAGACAAGGATGCTCGCTGTCGCCTTTCCTCTTCAACTTTGCTATTGACGAAGCCATGGAGTTTGTATTTACAGGACATGACTTGGAAGGTGTGGAACTGCTCCCAGGAGAATGACTTATTTACTTGGAGTATACAGACGACATTGCCCTCATCTGTGACAGCTCCCAGACGTGCCTTTTCCGCGCTGGACAGATTAGCACTGGCTGTCAGCCGCTTCGGGCTTTGCTTTGCACCATCAAAGTGCAAAGCCTTCCTCCAAGATTGGCAGGGACCGCCTCCTGCGCTGAACATTGGTGAGGATCAGCGAGAAGTCGTTGGGAAATTCAACTACCTGGGAGGTTGTATCAGCACCCTTGGGATCGAAGACGAGATCACGAACCGTATAGCAAAAGCTGGAAGTGCTTTTGCTAACCTTCGCCACCTATGGCGGCGGCGCGACATCACTCGCGCCCTGAAGGGTAGAGTGTACAATGCAGCGGTACGTTCGACCCTACTGTACGGTTGCGAAACCTGGCCCCTAAGATCGGCGGACATGAAGAACCTAGTTACGTTCCACCATCTGTGCCTTCGCAGTTTGGCTCACATCTGGTGGGAACACCGCGTAACGAGCGTGTTCAACGCATTGCATACGGCCCAGGAAAAGGAAATGAACCGCTCAGCACCGTTATTTCCCGCACCAGGCTCTGATGGCTGGGCCACGTGTTACGCATGCCAGCCCACCGACTCCCTCGACGTGTGTTGTTTGCTCACCGGGGATGTGGATGAAAGAAGAGGAGGGGTGGCCAAGCGATGACTTGGTCCAGGGGAATGAAATCCCTCACTTCGGAGCTAGCCTCGGTTAGAGCGTCACGGCTCCCTGGTTGGGGTCCGAAAGACCATGAACACGTTTGGCTGGATACATTTGCTGCTATGGCTAGGAGCCGACCTCAGTGGCGTTCATGCTGTAAGTTTCTTTGTCGCTCCCCATCCTTTTTAGCCTCCCCGTCCATCTACGATCTCATTTCGTAGGGTAAAACAATAAAAAATTTTTGCCTAGTAGCTGGCTGGTAGCTTACCGAAACAATGCCTATCCGTTGCTGGTAACTCAGCAGGCATGCAACTGTCGCATTTATTTTTCCTTTATGTATTATATGTATGTATGTATTTCCTTTATTTATTGCGGTACAACAGCGTAGGTGTTTCATCACCTCTAGCTGACATGTATAATGATGATGATGATGATGATGATGACTGGACGCCATATGGTAAATTGGATTTGGCACCGGTGAACAGGGGCTAGAACTACATGAAATTCCGGCAGTTCAGGTTAATGCAATCTCAGCATGACGAGTCGAAGCATGCAGCTTTGTGAACCAAATGAACCGGTGTAAAAGTCAAAAAGTGCAATGTGTCAGGAATGCAAAGGGGGGATTGTAGAAAAAACAAGAAGTATACGCAGAGCTTATTACTCTGTATAAACTGATACACGAAGCTGCACTTACTTCTGTTGACGTATCTCATTAAGATAATCCCCGATCAGTTATTCAATGTGCGCTGGTTGTACAAATGAGCTAGATGGTGAGACTGTCAACCGAAAATCTTTAAATCCGTTTACTACTCACTTAACGTCAGTAGCTACTCGACCAGCTCGTAAAGCCTAACCTTTGGTGGCGGATTAGCGGTGCAAATAATGCGTCTGCGATTCAATCCACTCTTCGAGCGGCAGCGACGAACATGGTGGTGTAGGATGGGACTTACTTTGCCTCGTTTATAACCGTGAAGTAAGCCATTGTTCTCAGCCATGACACAGTGTTATAAGCAGTTGAATGTAATTTGTATGGTCTTGGGTTAACATACATATATAATCGAGCGGAATAAGCTCATCTGTCACGCCCTAGTGGGGCGAAACGGCTGTCCAGCACCAACTCTGCTGACGGCGGCTACATAGGCAAGTTTGGCTGTTACGAAACCAACGGCCCCGCTTCAAAACCCCCTTCCACTTATTTACTTAAAAGCGTGCAGGATAGAAAGCACAGTCCGATGTTTAACTAGCGATTATGAGTACCAGTTTTAGACTGTCCTACAGTCTAGCTTGCAACTGTGGGCTCACACAATATGCCGTTTGTCAGAGACTAAACTGAAACTACTGGATACGATGTCATGCACTAGGAAAAGGCAAGTAATGTCCAGGCAGCGGAAACGACTCGGTCCTAACAGAAGTCTTCAAAGTAAGTAGGACTAGTCATATGCGCTTGCCTGACAGTGCCCGAAATAGTATTTGTGTCTGCTTTCGAATGTGTGGCTTCCGCCATATTTAAACAACCATTTTCGACTTTATAGGTATCTGTGTGGTTACTAAGGTTCAGTAAGTAGTTAGTTTCCTCCAACAACTTGACAAACACGGAAAGTAGACCTAGGCTGTTACATGCAGGCATTTCGTATTGTCTCCACAGTACCATTGACAACAATTGATATGTACAGATATAGCTAACAGTGGGTATAATCAGACAAGCTTGAGGTGTAGAACGAATGACCTAAGTTCATGCCTACGTACAAGGCAGCTTGAGGCTGGCAACTAATTGTTTCTGAACTCACAGGCCTGGCTTCATTCGGCTTACAGCGATACTCGGTTGATAACGACAAATTGTGTACCATAGTAACTTGCTTGTAGCCGAAATTATACACTGAAATTTGTCCATACCTCCAAGGAAGGAAGCTGAGCCTATCGGGGTCAACTTACACTGGGTATACCCTATTAGTGTGTGACCGCGCTAACAGTTATATTGGCAGAATAAAGGAGCATTTGCCAAGATCGGTTCAGCATAAAGTTGCCCAAATTTCCCACCCCGTCAGGTTCCGTGCTCGCTTAGTACGCCGGCTTCCTCGATGGGCAAACGCTACCAGATAGAGCTAGGCCCAGCGTTCCAAGTTGTGTTGCTTCACACTAATCTCCGTTTCCTGACCCACAAGGCATCGAGGCGAATTCAAGGAGTCGCGCCCATTGGGAGCCGGTTATCCATCGCTCGGCTCACACGCCTTTCGTTTGGCGGGCTGCCAAACCGGAGCCCAGTATTCCAAACAATTCAGTGTCCAGTTCAAATGGTACGAAGCTCCAGCGCGGCGAAGCAAAGAGCAATGACTTTACTTAATGACGATTCACATTCGCCTCTCACTGTGTCGTTAAACAGATATTTGTGGCTTTTTGTAGGTAGAAAGCTTGCCGAGCGAAAACCCAATACCTT